CGAGTACTTTTTAGTTTATCCTTAATCTTGTGTAAGAATTTTATTGGCTAAGATACTGTAATCAATCATCTGGGACCCTGGGGAATGATAAAAGTACGTCAGCCGATGCTGCTGTCAATTTAGATTATTCTTAGTGCACTAAGTACCAGCAAACTATAGTTTAGCCATTAGCGAGAACAAACGACCTTTCCGTAGACGCTGATTTAAAAGAAGTGGAAATAAAAATACTGCTAAATTGATAATAGGTCCTACTCAGTCTTTTGAAGTCCTAATTAACATTAACATAATATTTTAATCTTTATATTTACCTACGCTTCGATCGATAATTTTTTACTACATCTTCTACATAAAATAATGTGTATTATAATTAATCTGTAGGTACTTCACCAACTCACGTGTACGATAAGTACCTACCTATATAATTAATTATCTCATTTAGGTAATTTCGTTAGATATCTTCGTTTACTTAGGTACTTGCTCAATAATTGTGATAAAGTTTGATAGAAAACTAAGTAAATAAGTCAGTCTGAAGAAAGAAATGATCTGCTAATTCTTTAAATTCTGTTCAGATAACCTTTTTCTTTTGAGTGAGGAAAGACATCCAATGATCAGTCATTGGACTTGAGTGAGGCAAGAAGGAGTGTCAGACTCTTACTGACTAAAATCCACTCCGTTCCTACTTCTGCCCTTCGAGTTGGAGCTCCGGCAACCTGTTAGGTCCTCCCCGGCTTCTAGCGGCATCAGCCCTACTGGGCCCTATCTGTGGTGGTCTGATGGCTCGGGGTCCATATAACCTTGGATATGAGTTAGGTCATATTGATAAATCCTACGGGTAAAAACTTCATAAGGATTCGGCATTCATTTAGTTGACTGCTTTTTGTAAAGGGTAAGTGTGAGGGAATTAAAACTTAAGTTATGTATTTTGGGTTTGGATTGACGACGAATGTATTTAGGTAGGTAGGTGCCTAATTAATTAAATTTTACCTGGATGAACGACCTTTGCTCGGTGTTTGTTTTTTACTAAACGACATTTTCTGGCAATGAAACCTAGCTAGTTCGGTTTATCGTCCTCAAAACATAATTTCAAGAAAATCTTTGAAGCCTTTTCCAATACTAAATACCTACTAATAATACATATGTACAACAATTGCTCGTATAAAGGGGTTACATGTAGATTACAGGTATTACGAACTTCGTCCTAATGATGTTAAAATTTAAACTTAGATTCAAATACAACTATAAAGTTAGTTACCATTACGACATAATATTTTTATTCAAGCATAAATTGTTTTTTTTTGTTTAAGAAGATGGTAGGATGGACTGGACATCTATGACAAGGATTGGCCGCAAAAAGCTTTACATGCGTAGAGAGGAGTGGAAAGAGGATAGGGAGGCCTTCGCACTGCAGTGGGACGACCATGGTAAAAATAAAATAATGAATAAAAATAATATACCTATTGTGCTCTTTTCAGTGTTTCTACCACTGCTCTATTTGCTATGCAATGTAGTGAAATACATAATGCAATCTAATCAAATGTGATTAACTTTGGCTGACTTAACCTGACACTCAATGGAGTTTCAGCTGGGTATATATTCAGCCTCAGGTAAGTAGATGTGTGTGTACCTACTATAGTTTTCTTTGATTCAAAGGATTGCCTAGAGGCCTAGATTAATTTTGAAACAACGCAACTGAACCATAAATCTCAGGTAGAATGGCTGCCGTCCTAAGGCCTTTGCTGCGACCTTTATAAGTTCGTCTGTCCACCTTGCGGATTGGGTAGGCATCTTATGCAGAGCGCTTCCAACTAGCTGACCTGGAAGTTATTTGGGGAGGCCTATATAGGCTGGCGTATCATACCAGCCATGGATGTCTTGTGGCTCATAATGATGACGATGTGTTCCTTACAAAGCATGGCCAGATTGCCTAACTATCTGCAATGAAGTTTCCATAGCACCAACAAGATGAGAAATTAATTAGGTATAAAAAGCAAGTGATTATTTTTTGCAAGTCTGCCACTTAATACCCCTCTTCAATAAGCAATCAGGGTTCAGGGTGCATCTTTTAGGGTTTCGTGATCAAAGAGTAAAAACGGGACTCTTACTAATAACCCCTGGACAGGGGAGTATTATAGAGAAGGAGTCCCGTTTTAATTTTCGACAGACGATCGGTTGTCACCAAGCTAAATCTAGAGGTATAGCTAAGTAGATAGTTATTTTTTACAGATGATGAATTATAATAGAGGTAAAGCAGAAATTATGTAATGTTTTTGGTTTTTGTATGGAATTTCTGAAAAAAATTAGATCGATTTGAAGATATTCGATTAAGAATGGTTAATATAATAATTTTGGCCAATGTATAGAAGTTCCTATCAGAGTCGAATTAAACCCAAGCAGGCACCTTACAGGCGCCGTTAATTTTTGTTTGGCGCCGTCGCTCTTTGACCTGGCGCCCTAGTTCGCCCTAGGGATAATACGGATCCGGCCCCATTATAGATAATACAAACGCGATTTTTTTTTAGATAATGGAACGGAACCCTTCGTACTGGAGTCAGACTCGCACTTAACCGGTTTAATTTAATACTTTAAGCTTCTTACAAGAACGTCTATTAATTTCCTCTAACAGATTTTTTCTCATTGAAAAGTAGGAGGGAGATATATGAGTGACGAGGAAGGTTTGCATAGATATTGACAGGGAATTTGTGAAATAACGGTTGCAACCAATAGTGAACTAATTGCCACCCTCGGACGACCGCCACCCTGCACCCCTGTAAAACTGCCACCCCCCCTCACACTATCCGCCGCAGACCACCCCGAGCGGAAGGGGTGAAATGAGAGTTTTTGTGGACACAAATACATACCTAGCAACAGGCAAATCAACTATACATGAATTATTTTTCTGTTTTTATCATTAATTGATTTTTATATTCAGGTAGGTGTTCGTCATTTCCTTGTTTATCAATTTGTATTGGCCATATCGTCCTACGTTCGCTTGATGAGTACCTACTTATTACCTCTATAAGCACTTAGGTACGTGCTGTTTATACTAATTGGGGGGATGCTTTGCACTTTTTCTTAACAGGGCTTAAGTGTGGAGGGGAATTCCATGCTAGACTCTCGATCGTAATCATATCACGGCCTTATAGAAAGCCGGCGTGAACCAACGCTTTCTTTAATGTTTATTTTATTGAAACAACGTTTGCATTGTATTTTGCTATCTGAGTGAGGTTTCCCTGAGACTCGATCCTGCCCTCAGCTCCCCCCCCCCGCCCCATTCTCCAGGAACGCACTTTCATGTGGCCAGCGGTTTGTGGTTGCATTAAAATCTAAGAGGAAAGTAACCGGGTTTGTTTTCCTCTCCTCTAATTAATAATGATTAGGTAACCTAAATTTAATACTGACTATTATTGTATAAATTGCTGATTTTAATGAAATTGAATATAATTTTTATACCTATAAAATTTGTACGACAAGCACTATTGGCAAAACATGGACGCACAACAAACTATTTAATATCTTACAAGTCTGATTACTTACTCAGTTTATGTAAACGCATGTTTGACAAATAGGTAAGCAATATTTTTTTCTTCTTTCTAACACTTTTTTTTTCGTATTAGAATCGAAGACAGTTACAATCCCTAGGACAAACTGGACATATACGTGTTTGGGTATCTACCTATTACTATAGACCCTGGCATACGTAGGAATTGCATCGGTTTTGGGAGTTAGGAGAAAGTCCCGTAACGCCGGACGGCACCTAACACGGGACACTTGTATTATCTCGATAACTGATAACATGAGCGATTAAATTTTTGCTTAAAATCTTAGGTGTCTGCTACTGGGAGACTTCTCTCTAAAAATTAAATAGCTCGAGTTATTAGTTATTGAGATAATACAAGTGTCCGGTGTTAAGAGACTTGCCCCTATTTACTTTCAGCGAGCGTTCTCGCTTGGCAGACACCTGGATATAATATTATTTTATTTACTTGGGTGTTCACCATGGGACAAAATAGTTGTACATTAATATGTTGCATGAGTAGATACGTTATACGTTAGTCTCTTATGCATTAGTATAAGACTATATATACACATTAGTTTAAGACTACATTCCTGTTGATAACAACAGTAATAAACATGTTCCCACATCATTGTCCGGAAATTCTGAAAGTACACGTTATTATGTTTCAATCTTTTAGGCACGATATGCTAGGCATGGCTTCACTAGCGCCATCTCGTAGCAGAAATCGAAAACCATCATTTAATACGAATTAAAGGACAATGACCAAAATGGATGGATGGACTCCGTCTCCACCCTTGTAGCAATTTTATGCCAATCGAAGGGCAAGGGCCTTAGTCACTTGTGTGACAGCGAAAAGTTTGTTAGAAAGTAGTTACATCAGGGTGTTGAGAGGATCGCTGCAAGACCCGAATGGAGTAGTCCTTTAGAGCATACTGATAGCTGGGCACCTGATCTAGGTAGGTACCTAAGCCAACCTCGTCATCACTCTTTATTTTCTTAACTGTTTATTGTTTTAGGGTTTCTAACAAAAACAAATTTATCGTGTAGTATTATTTTTTCTTTTTTTTTGTTGTGACAAAATATAATTTCTAAGCATCTTGCAACTAATTTTTTTCTGGCTTCATAGTAAAATGAATAATTAAATCAGCTGTTGCTATTTTCAAAAATATGCTTGTTTTGCTCTTGTAATTCAGGTGTGCAAAACAAATGGAGGATGCATTGATTTAACTAAAATTAGACATAGAAATGGACAACACTCGCTATTTCAATATTGTCCACATCGGAACAAATCGTAAACATAATATTATGTCTATGCAGCAGTCCTAGCAAGTCAGTCAAGTGATGTAGAATTAATAATTAGGTAATGAGTATTTTTTTAGCAACTCTATATCTTACCCGTCGTGCTATGAGTATTTTACAAACCAGTGAAGTACTAAATAAATAAAATAAGGTAAGAATGTCGTAGACAAATAAAACATCCACATTTGTGTAGTGATTTATTAAGGTTCTATTACATTTCGTAATTGACTGAAATTGATAGATCCAATAAATGCAATAGGATTTTGTAATCACTAAGAGCATGACATTGAATTGGTAGTACCTAAATAAAATTTGCATATGTAACCAAATTAACGAATTAAAACTAATTATAAACAATCAGTCCTTAATTTTCGTTACGATTCCCTCAAAAACGAGATCATATTTCTATAGTACAAGCATCAGTAGGAATATGATTTCGTAAAATATCAGTACTATCGACTGAGATCACTTCGTTTGAAGTTTACAATGGTCTAAGCGCACTATCCTAGGAAAATATTTACCAAACCCTCGCGCTAGATGGAGAGGCTCATAGTCCGTCTCGTTTACATTGGGCAGTAGGCCGAGCTTAGTGCTAAAAGGTATGCATTAAAATACTCTTTGTAGACTGCACTGAGCAAACGAAACGTGCAGCAGACTAATGAAATGGTATTATTCCATTTAACCTGCATGCCCCACTTTTCTAAAACATGAGCACTGCTCTTTAAACCAGTCTCAACGAAACTAAATCTAGGGTGTTTACATTACCGTGCAAAACGTAATGAACCTCGCATCCACGCCATTCGGTTAAAAAACATTGATACTTAATGCATAAAACTTAAAAATACTTAAAACAACATAATTTACAACAAAAGTATTATTCGCTTTGAAATGAAGCGTACCTTAATATACACTGTTGATAACGGAAAAACTAATAGGCATTGTTTGAACTTTATCATTTCTTTAGCAGCCCCCAAGCAGAAAGAATGTATGTAGGAATCGTAGTAATTGGCGTTCCATAGTCTCTACCAACCCCCATGGGAGACAGGCGTGAAGTCATGTATGTAAGCTGAACGAGAGTCGAGACAAATAATGATGAATATTTTATTAAGTTGGAACATCATCATAATATCTCAGAAAAGGTCTAACTTAGCATTTTATATTCCTTCGTTACATTTCTCTGCTTATCCCCTGACAATATTGCACACCGTCAGTTCAAACAATGTTTATTAATCAAGAATAAATTATGTTTCAAATCGGCATAAATCTTCAATGTCATAACTGTTATATATTTTGTTAAAACGTAGTTAAAATTCTATATAATTCTTGATAGGTACAAAAAGAAAACGACTTCACTTAGATGTCGTTTCTTTACGTTGAGTGGTCAGACATTCAAAATGTCAGACAGCGTTTTTGTAAAATAATTAATATGGAGTAAAAACATTATTTGTTTCCTCTTTATTTGCAGGTCAGATATAATTACCTATTAATGTGTTACGTTAAAGTATTCATTTAGGAATAAAGAACTCTTATCTGCAGTAACGCCGCTATGTTTTTATTCCAAGAGGAAGAATATAACGTTATTATAGGTATATAATTATTTTTAAAACATTGATTAAAATTTTAAGTTTAAAATCGATTGATTATAATATTTACTTTATCAAAATACTTGAGATTTATAGTTTATTTGAAAGTGACAATAGTCGCCAACAATTAAAATGAAAGTCAAATAATCAGTTCGATAATGCGTAGAATAACGTTAAAATATTGACGTGAAATGCAGCTGTTTCTCAGCAACCGCTTCACAGAAATATTAAAACGTTGAACTTGTCATGATTTGAAACATAAAATAATACAAGTAAAATTTTAAAATAAGATTATTGTATAATTTGAAATAGAGTGAGTCTTTTTCAGTATACTGGGAGATACCTATCAGATTTCAGTTAGTTTTGAAATATGTAAATACGTTTAAGCTGATTTATATTAGCGAAACAAGAAGTGAATATTAGAGCCGTCTTGAAGAAACATTCGAGTTCTATTGAAGTTTCTTCATAAATACTATCCCAAGTGGGGAGAGGAAGGAACTACACCAGTGATTGAAGATCTTACAAACTGACATTTAACCATTTAATATTATTTGAGGATGCATCAAGAGCTTATGTGTCACGAGGCTAAGTGGAACGAGATCAACGTCTGTGGCATCCACACCGTACCGAGACACATAACATCTTTATGCGAACTAACAACATCGACTTATCAACAACGCATATAATTTATACTGATTTAACTACAACTGCATGGACAACACAGGAAGCCCTTACTTCAGCGAGGAGAAGCTATAAGACGGCCCCAGTGACCAAAGGGAGTGACTGGCCTGGTAAGTAGGTGAGTACTAATAGATCAAACATTTAATATCGATATCTTGGAACAAATATTAGTCCACTTAACATTCAACATCGAGATATAATAGTTGTACATCGATCAACAACATTCAACATATATTATGACAATATAATCGATACATTGATTTGATTAAGTTAAGTGAGACAACGGTAATATAATGACTTATAAAACATCCATATAATAATGGGTGTTACGTATTGTACGCGACGAACAGAGCAGTCAATCGTATTTAACGCCACCGGCACGAAGGCACCTCACAGCGATTCGAGATTGCCGTTCTGGTGCCGAATTAGAGGAAAAGCTCTTATTGGCCGGATTCTGCCAGCACATAACCTGATATCGAGCGTCAACATTCCACACAACAAACACTCGATTATATACTTTCCGAAAAATGCTCGTCACGCCTCAAATATCGGTATGAAAACCGTAGTAATTTTACCCCACAACATATTAATCTGAGCCAAACGCTATACACAATATTAAGGAACGTACTCTATCACATTGTGAATTAATTATATAAAATACTGAATCTGTGCTCGTTAACTATGTTAAGAAATAAATAGGTGTTATAGTAGGTAAGGGCCGTGTCGTGTCCCTCAACAGTATGTGGCGCACACATCAAATAGGTTGCGTCTCACGCTAGACACTATTATAACTATCGTTACGCATCTAACACAGACATAGGAAACGACCAAGAACATCGAATATGAGAATTACTTCTATAATTATTTAAATCCATGCTTTCACCTTATGACTACAAGTGTTTGGATATATTTATAACATACACTGCTATACGAACACGGCCCTGCTCTGTGCACGGACATTATCATCAAAGAACATCTATTTATTACCAAGCCGTGTGCCGGTCATAAACCGAAATACTGTAAACATTCATCAAGATTATTCATATACAATTAACAACTAACACACAATTAAACTATTTTATAATAAATAATTTAAACATGCATCAATATGTGTAACAGTCCCGTTTGAAATCATTCCCAACGCGTCCAGGCCAATGTCTCCAATATATTCCATCAATATTCGCGTTTCAGAGCTACATAATCTATTACTTTATTCATATCATATACAAAATGTTCAGTATCCCCAGTAAACAAATTTCATTCTTGGACTTAAGCGGAGGAACATAATCCTCCTTGGAACATTAATTTCAATCTTTAATTAGTAGAAAGTGACTTTCTACCTCATTATATATTCATACCTAGGTACATACACATATAGTTTTAGTACTTAATTCTAAGTAAACATTTAATCGCATGCGTCGTTCAAAAGAACAGACAACTCAAATAGATTCAAGATATTAGTCCAGTCGAATATACAATAACACTTATAGAATAAACCGCACTTCGCATAATCTACTCAGTCGGTGGTGCCGTGACCTGAGATCTATACCAAAGTACCAACCAGAGCTGCGGCGTGCACATACCGCAATGTATTCTACAGATAAAGCAGAACGTCACCAACTTTGGTCCGAACAGGACGCCACTTAACAATCGGGCAAAAAAAGTTGGCAACTCGAGAAACCGTATCATACAAAAGCGTATGTGAAACTTGAACACTTATTCTTAAAAAGTACTTTACGATAGACATTGTGCAAACAATTTACATAACACTATAAGCATCGGTTTCGTACTTTTGTAGTAGACCATCAGCATTCAAGATATCAACCTCGACACGACGTATAAACGCTGAAACTGCCCAAAAATATAACACACACCGTGCGTTAATCTAGTTTAACATTAAGAACTTTAACTCTAGTAGTGTACTACAGCTCCGCGGAGCTGGAACACTAGATCGTCCGTAAGCCGACGGGCGTCGAGCTGAGTCCTTATAGCGGGTGGTGGCATTGAGTTGGAGCCGCGCAACAACATTGCTCCTTCACGAGCTAACAACGCAGACGCACTTTATACTTGCAGTAGAAGCCTTGTCCTAGAACAACGTAATGTTCAATGTGGCTTCTAAAAGCGAGCGCGCCTACGATTTAGTTGTTCAACTTGAGGATGGAGTCGATGGAGAAATCGACCCTGCGTCGTTGCTCGAGCATTATGAAAGTTTGAACGGTGTGCAGCGCTGCCGGGTTGGCCGATGACGGCCCCGGGACGGCAGCATCGCCGCCGCCTCCGCCGCCACCCTCTTCCTTTCAGCTGGGCTTCTGCTGCACCTCACGCATTATAAGCTAAAACAATTCAATTATATCTGTACTCACATGTAATCAAGTCACATCACAATAAATACATAGAGCAGTACACTTAGAGCTCGATTCTATTATATTCGTTTCAGGGTATCGGAAACATTGGAAAAATAGAACAGCCGAAAAATATAAAATTAAATTAAATTTAAATAATTGAAAAAATATAATCTGTGAACTTAATAATTTTGAAAATAACTAACTCTTAAATGTTTTTTTTTTCTTTACATCACATTCAGTATTTTTAATGTTTTTGTGATGTATTCATAGGAGCCTGAGAGGAATATAACTGTCACATAATGGCAACACTGTAGTGTATGTTTGTATTGCTACAGTGTGGCTTACATTGAACTGTAGCATGCCATATTAGCACCAGCAATAATCTGGAGTTCAGACATATACTGTTGCGATCTCTAAGCTTCTATCTCACATATCTAAACAAAGTATGCTTGTAGCAAATAATAAAACTAAGTAACAGTCTGGTCGCTCGAGCAATTAACTTAAAACAATGAAACAAAAATAAACTATTTTTAATGCTTATAACTAAATAAAAAGCATTATTTACTATGTTCCATGGCACGCAAAGCGGATGCTTTAACTAACAAAATAATACAGAAAGTAAAATATTTGGATTAAAAAAATGAATTATAATACCGTATCATCTCGGTGGCCTAAGTCGGCGAAGAGCGGGTGGGTGATGTTTAAAAGCGTTATTAAATGAAGGGGAGGGGTAAATTATAATAAATCAAATAATTTTTTAAGAAAAAAATTGAAAAATTTGACTTTAATCTAAGGCAATGTCGGTCAAGTGTATGCTGAACATTGTACTGAGTTCTGATTTAGACATCTCACTTATGGCCGTATTTACCAACCACCCCTAAACTGTCACTCAACTATGAGTCACTTATAGGTTAGTGAAACCAAAGATGATTTTAAATGTCACCTATCTTCGCTTAAGAATTCCATTAAATTAAGGAGAGGTTGATGAAAACGGGCATTAGTCTCCCTAAAAAGTGTATGAGAATTTGGTAGAATCAAATCTTCATCTATTTTTTTCAAAGATGTAAAGACAATGTAAATGTTGGTAAACTGGTTAATTGAATTGTTTTATTTTCAAAAAGGGACAGCCCTACTGTTAATACAGCAATGTTAATTTTTAGTACCACGGTTGATCTCTCTGGAACGTCCCGTGTTAGGTCTTCTATAAATGAGAGTGCCTGGAAAAGGCCATACCAATGTCATTGTTCTGAACCCATAGATTACAGACTTAGCCCACGATGGGCACAGAGCCGACCTAAGGCAGCACTACGAGGCGGCTGCTTAGCGCCTGGGGCCTGGCCATCTATTTACAATTGGTTAGTTTGCTGGGCAAGCTGCAAGCTAAGCATCTATAGACTGCGCCAAGCGCGTTAAGCGCGTGAGCTAATTAGTCGGTAGTGCGTGAGTTACGTTCTATTTTACAGTCGCGTACCAGGCGCTAAGTAAGCCTCCTCCCCACAGAAGAGAAAGGTTCAGCCAGACTGTGCTCCACCAGACCAAAATAACGCAAATTTCGTTAATTTCATTTAAACTATTTGGTAGAGATTGCCAGAATCCGGTCTAATACTGTTCAAAATTTACTGACACAAAAGGTGATAGTTCAAAATTCACCCAAATCCTATAGCAAAGAAAAGTGTCTCAAAAGTAGGTAAGCTAAGGTATAAAAAATTCTTTTTATCAATTTCGATGTGTCTTATAATATTACGAGAATTACGCCAGGTATTCCAAAGGTTTTGTTTTTTTTTTCGTCCATTATAAGTGAATAGCTCGGGCGTATACTCCCGGTGTCGTGTCCTAGCATACATATAATTTTTAATTTATAGTAATTCGTATAAACCTCAGCTGTTTGAGATTGGAACTACAATATTGATGTAGTCAGGATATTACCCAACACTTCTTTATTATCCGAAGAGCAGATTGTATAATACCTAGCTAGCAGACTTATAGGGATTGTTGAGTTCGGTTTACTATAAGACGTGGGTTAATTATGAATAAACCATGGGCCTCCTCGTTTGTTAAATCTCTGGTTAGTTGTAACATAATCCCTTGATGCAAAGAAGTTATCTGAAAGTAGCAATGTCATCATCATAAACTGCAGTTTGCTTCAAAGTGAATCACAACAATTAAATTGAAACTATGCACAAAAAATATTGAACAAAACATCTATCTGTGCAATGAAAGGGGTGCTAAAATATTAAACGGCTAGGGAGAACTAAAATCTAATGATGTTACACTACCGTATGAATGGGAGAAAAATGGCAGTCGCTATATCAAATTACTTACTAAATTACATGAAGTTATGGTTGATATTCAATTGTAGTTCCCTCGGGCCGATGTGAGAATTTAGAGATTAGTTAACTTTTGTATGACAATAAATTGAGACCAATTATTTCTGGCAAGCTTCTGTTTTGTTTCAGGAAACCAACAAATTTTATAAAGTGCGGAGCCACGAGGGAATTCATTTACTGAAACTGAGGCAGCACATAGTGATGTGCGGTGTGCACCATGTTTCAGCCTTTCTCTTCGAGTGAATTTTTGAACACGGTATACGTTCAAATAGGCCAGGATGTGTATTTACATTCAGTAATTTATAGCAATATAAATTTTGATGGGAATTGTTGAAAAATTCACTGTCACTTAAGTAATTTGTGCTTCCCTAGGCCGGACGTGGCCGTCTCATACCTGGTGTGGGCGGTCCGAGGTGATAGTCTCGGCGGCGCGCACTGGCGGCGGCGGCGGCCGCACCTGCATCATCTGCGGGCCATTTTCGCGCGTGCACCGGCTCGGCTCGGGCGGGCCAGTCGTCACTACGCAATGGCACATCACTTGAATTCGTACATCTCTCTCCTAGTACCATTTCTGCGACAGTTTCAGCAAAAAAACATATTAATTTCTATACTTACGCTCGGTTTTCGAAAGGCTGTCGACATACGTTATGTTAGCAATCAATAGTTAAAAGTAGAAGTACAATTTCGTTAATCAGCCTTTCAAAAATCGAGTGTATGTAATGAAAGAAAATAAAAGCAATTTATGTATCAAAGTACTTGATGATTGTCCTGAAATGTCAGTACACACCAGTTTCACCTGGAACTGATATAGAACAAACACATTTAGGTATTATGCTGTTGCTAATTTTGATTATCACTTATCGTTTGGAAATAGTGTTTTTATCAGAAAAAATTTAATACAATTTTGATTACAGCATATAATGAATGTTTCTTCAAAATGCTACTATAAAATATTAGGATCATTATAACTTTGTTATTAATTCAAGATAATTAGAACATAAAAGGCCAATCATATAGTTAGGAATCTACACTTTGGAAAAAGCAAACAGCTTTACTCGAAGACTGACCAGATTGACACTTTATATTTTGTTTGATTTTTAAAGTGCCTTATGAGTATTGGTCTGATTGGAATAAATGTTTTTGACTTTCATAAGAACGAGGTCATATCAATAAGTAGCTCATGTAATAAGAAGCAATATAAAACATATAACCTTTTAATGTAAAATAGAATGAGCTCTCTTTATTGAGAACATGTCAAATGTAGAAAAAACATATTATACTCATCAATTTTGAATACTAAAATGATGTTTTTAGATTTTATTTATTACAAGTAATTTTACAGAGGAATGGCCTTAAATCTAAACTTACCAAACAATTACGTTTGATGGCGAGAGAGACAACAGTAGGAATAGAAAAATCTACAAAGATTTTTCAAAATTTTTTAACACAGAAATGTTCAGAAAACATCGAACATTATAAACGAAATAAAACAAATAGTAATAATAAAATGTAGCAAAACAACATAACTTTGAAAATAGTAAAAAAAAAACAGTTCAAATAATGAAATTAAGTAAAACTTAAGTAATAAATCATAAAAATAAGCAATCAAAGAAAAAAAGATAAAGAAAAAGACACAAAAATCTTAACAACCTTTAAGAAATCATTGGTATGAAGTATAACAAATGGTACCTAGTTAACACAAATAAAATAAACGACCTAAACAACATCGATCAAAGATTACCTAAAACTAAAGAATAAATGTGAGACTGTATAATATTTTCGAAAACATTGTTAAGATTTCCCCATATTACTTGGAATATTAAACGTACCAGTAGTGAGTGGGATTGCGAGCCGAGCGTTAACCGCGAGCAGATGGTCTCGGCGCTGCAGCAGGCTGCCTACATGTTCCTCCAACCGAACATTCTCAGTGCGCAGCTGGTGCAGGCAAGACAACAGCGATGCGACTGTACACACGTATCTTCATTAGCCACACATTATCACTGTTACACTTAAATCATGGACCATCTACAACCTACAGTACTTTACAAACATCGTGAAACATCGGCTTTAAGAAAAAGATAGAATACTATTATCACATCTCATCTGTCGTCGTTTTTCTTTTCCATTTTAATTTTGTGGTGGAACCCGTTCTTCATACTCACCGGCCGCTTCCATGAGCGCCGTTTGGCGCCTAACATAAGGACGATAGCGCAGCGCACCTGCATACAAAATACTGTAGATAATATCCCACCGTACACATTGTACTCAAGCTACAACCATTTAATTCGCTATTTCTTCTTTTTACGCTTCTGATTATATTTAAAACATATATAGCAGAAATGTACAGATTATTAAGAAGCATGAAATTACTTACGTGACATTGTAATAACGAATTAAATCAGTTTTACAGTAAAAAGAAAATGTGTATATTTATACATAGATAGACACTTACTATTCTGTATTAGACGATCAATAGGAGCATTCTTCTCGTCTTAATTCTATAAACAACACCAACATTTGTAAGCAAGTTGCACGTACTTAGACACCGATTTACACTGCCAGTCGAAGTGATGCGATGCTCGGTTATATAGATTCTAGTCGATATCAAACGGTATATTTCTGTTTGGGACAATAATCATGTCTCTATATTTATACATGTCTATTTAATATGAATCGTTTATGGTACATCACATGAAATATCCATTTTGATATCGTCTTACCACTTGAATAGTTTTAAGTCTTTGTTTCCATACACGTTAAAAAGGTGATCGTTATGAATGACGTTGCTTCAACAAACGTTATTTTTTTTTGCGTATTGTGGACGAAACTTCTATTTGTATGAGCTAGAAGTATGCAAGCAACTTATGAGCTTCATGGTGCGTTATATGGTAACAAAGCCTTAGCAAGTGGATGCTGATTACACATATAATGCTTTCTACCATAGATAGGCATTGCTCAAAGAGCATGCAGCGAATAACAACGTTGCATTTAATCTCGTTGCTAGTTCCACAACAATCAATGCGACATTGACGGCCAATTTCACAGTCTAGTCAATTATCCACCAGATAAAACAGTGGAACTAAATCTGAATGAAATTCATGTTAAATTCTAACGAATTTGTTCAAGACTTGTGAAATTGACTCTATTTCAATAACTTCATACCCATTTTTTGTAATTTCTATTTTATTTTGATACAATGATGGTGTTTTCACAAAATTTTTGGGTAATTTGTAAATACAATGCCAATTGAGAGATGTTATGCATAATTTCTTTTGTTTTCCTTACAAAAATATGGGCAAGTATTGATATGATACTAAGAATGCGATATTGTATGCAAATGAAAAATATTGTTTAAGGAGTATGCTTTTTATTTCCTGATTATCAACATACTTTCTTACTATTACTGAAACATTTTTGCGAACTTAATATTATTTTGCGTACAATTGTAACGTAAAGCATTCGCCTTAATTGCATTTTAAATTAGCTGGGATCAAGAGTGAGCTGGCAAATAAACTACGTTTGCTTTTTGGTGAAATAATTAACTTTTTGTGACTTTACTAAGAAATTCCATCAGAATACTGTTAGTTATTTGTTGGTGGTTTCATTTTGTCAAGTCTATAGGTAATTAGTCGATTAACAAATAGATTAAGGAGTTGCTTACAAAATTACTTTTTTGGTACAATGCTAACAATTTTTTTATATTTACGTATAATGTAAAATCGTTTTATTTTTACTTATTATTCGTTAAAGGTGAGAACAGACAAACCACAAATAAATGAACTAACATTACAAATAAAATTTTAATAGATTTGTCAGAATGACGAGGTTTGCACTACAGCTGACTACGACCAGTTACTTACCAGCTAACAAAAATTAAAACTTTTGTGGTCAGGGATGCCACGCACAGCAGAACATATTCAAGGGTAGTAGACAGCTCTAATTCACTACAGTCAAGCGAATGATTGGAATAAAGTAACCTATCAACATCGACAGAGCTGCTCTGGAATTCTCGTCCTTTTCTGATGCTCAATGTTTCATAATAGTTGCAAAGTACTGTGTCTAACTCAAGGGAAATACAAAGGGGAAAAATAAAAAACAGATATCAAACATTTAGGAACATGAAAAATACATTAATAAATAATAAAAGTAACTACGACGAAAATACATGCGCAAAAATATGCACATATATTGAAAAATAAAAAATAAACATGCATGTGGTTTTACGAGGATGAATACCCACATGCTGTTTCATTACGATCTTTATGTAAAATACATCAAAGTTGAAAATGCGTCTACTCTAGATACTGAATTGCATGATAACGTGTACTCACTATCGAAATGTTGGGCTTGTTCCATGAGGAACTGTGAGCCTTGTTCCCACTGCCGTTCCAACAACTGGTCGAGGCTTTGAGCGCTCGAGGATCGTCCCGAACTGATACTGCCGCCCTGTATCAACATATTTATTAAATATTTGCTGCAGAAAACTTGTTCTACAATGACAAATACGTACCTGGTTAAGAATGTATAGATAGTCGTGATGAATAGTGAAGAGTAATATAGTAAGCGTCAGATTATTACCCAAACAAACATTTCAGTCGTATAATTGAAAGTCGACACTAATTTTATTGAACATCAAATTGACGTTTCTTTGACTGTTACCTATATGTAACAGATCATGATGATGGGTTATCCCTTTACAATTTAGTCGTGTAATCGACACACATCGACAGTTTATAGAACTTTCATTATTATTCTGCCTTTGAGATTGTAGATACATCGTTTGCGCTTTAATCACGCATGAATGCCCAGAAAATCACTTTTAGACGCTAACTGCACAAAGAACTTTAGAAGAAAACTGTTCATAATATGATGTGTTAATATTTTGAATAAATATAACTTACAGGCGCGGCTTTGTTGATAAGCGGCGGCGGTATGAGGGTATCTCCACCTGCGCTACCGGCGGCATGGGCGGCTAGTTCAGCGGTTAACTGTTCCTGAAGGCAAGCGGCCGCTCCGCTCTCAGGGTTAAGCTCATTGCCTAGCATGTGTGGGGCGGTACAAGAAGCTCCGATCCTGGGATACATGAAGGTTCTGAGGGTCAGTCATTGTGCATTGAATATCCTCATCAGCAATCAGTCGCAGTGGCTGTAGTAACTAGGGTATGTACCCGGCCTCTACAGATCACTTGTTAAAATATGTTGCTTTAAATGTTTCGTAAAATAATACAATTATTTAAGAGAGATAATAAAATAAAAGATGGTACAATAAAACAATTCAGAGGGATTGTAAAGATCTAAGAAAATGTGACAGATAAAATAATAAGAATGAGAAAATTTACAAAAATTAAAAAAAATAAAATGAAAAAAAGGTTAAATATTTCAATTAACTCCGACGAATCAGTTGTTCCCTTTCGTGCTAGGCCTAAGGAGGTTCTTTAGTGGCCAGTTCACCACAAAAAATATAAAAAATAAAATAAAAACGCAGACAGTGCAGAATACAATACTTACTTGGACTCCATCTTAGGCTTCAATGGTCTTTCAGAGCCTGAAACGTGAAACATACATACGATTAAAATCACGTATTATAATGGCATACCATGAATAAAACAATTCGTGTCGACCTTTATATTAAGTGGGTTACTAGATGACTACCAATGAGATTACTTATCAAATTTGTAAATGATCACGGCAGACGACGACGTTCATAAATATGAAAATAGCAGAAAAATAACGTATCTGTGGCGATTTGTTGGTTCCTATTTGCCATGGTGTTTTATTCAGGGTAATATTGCGGCTGCGTTTGTTTTAAGAGATAAGTGTAAACGTTGTCTTGTCACTGTTGACTCCTTTTTCGAAATGTCTCAATTTGTTATTTAGACACACTAAATCTGACATGCTTTGACATCGTCATATCTTCTTCTCATTTCGGTAAGCAGATACAATACCATAAAAAATAGCACAAATCTGGTTTCCCTCCCTTCTCTCGCTTCTTACTTTTATCGATCTGTCCCGGCATGCTTGTGTCACAAATCCTTATGCTTGCTTTTATCAATACGCATGAATTAATATTATAGATTGGCTTCACCTATTTTTAATTATTATGATACCCTGGATTATCCCGCCGCAAGCAGAGGCTTGTCCTGCTAAAGACAAGCGGCCCTACACCGTTCTACTACTATCTTTAAACATTCCCTGTCTTAAAATATTGCTTAGCTTCCAAAGTTATGTAACATTAAATGTAAAAGAATTGTATAACATACTTGGTGAGCTCGGTGGCGAGTCTTTGATAGTCTCCGAGTAGATCGGCGGCGGCGTCGGCTGTGGCTGGCGACGTACGCTGGCCAACGTCTGCGTTGTCATCGTCTCTGAGAAAGAATTACAAGACAGGTAAGCCAAGCTATGTAATATGTTAGCTCCGTTGATTATATTGAAGGCAGAAAACATAAATCTAAATAAGAATTTGTAATGCTATCTGATGGTGAGATTTTGGGTTGGAAGTTCTGCAATAGTCTAGTTAATAATAGTAATAAAGTTCCATCGATTTGTGTCAACAAAACTGAACAATATTACACACACAAGATGGATCTGCCACGAGTCTTGTGTGTGTTTTGTTCCTTCATCAAGAATATCATGATAATCAAAGAAAGTATTATGACTTATGAGATTAAAAGTACCTACAGATTGCCATCATACTTCTAGCTTACATCACATTGATGCATCTGATAATACAAATTCGTCAACAAGGGGTACTCTAACTACTAAATTGGCTATAGGGGAGACCTAAGTATATCGAGCAGACGGAAACAGCCTGATGCTTATGTTTTTAAGTACTTACGTATAGCAGAAGCTGTGTTAGCCATGGCGACGACCGATGTGGCCATGGCGGCTCGTTTCTTTGTCCTCACTGTAGTCGGTGGCATGGGAGCCATGTTCACGGGGCCCATATCTGGCTGCTTACTAGGACCAGGCATGCCACTCATACTGCAGGACAAAAGAAATCACTTTACATCTATACCTCACTTAGAACATAGATAAATAATTTAACCTAGACTTACAGCCTCTTTTAATAACCTATCTGTAGATTAGGCATACTAAAGATAGAATTTTGACATGTTTTGTATGGAGCTTACGACAAATTTCTATAAGTAAATCCACAGATACACAGTTTATTTAAACAGGCCGTTAGCTAGTTAAATATAAAATAAGAATACTATGAATAGTCACAAAGACACGTCGCATATACTAAACGGCACTTAAACTACTGTCATAAGGCAATGGCTAATAAAAATTAATGCAATAATAAATATGCTTTAGCGCTCCTTGAGTTATTATATAATATTGCAATCGCAATAAACAAATAAGTGGCATTGCGATGGAGATTTAATTATAATAATAATGGAATATTAATATTTATGTTTGTGGGTATTACTGTGGATAATTGTCAAGCAGGATGTTTCCTTATTATATCCTTGTGAGGTGGCTTATTGTAGTTATTGATTTTTGAAAGTAAAAATATGAGACTATTTTGAAATTGGCTCACCACATCTGGAACTGCTAACACAACTGGCGTAGAATGGGCGTGGCCAAAAAACTATACTCGAGACACTTATTTTCCTCTATATATTATTAAGACGCTTTCTAACACTTGATTTATTACATAATTAATGAAATACAAATTAGCTTATTCATTTCAATAGTATTCGAAAATACATTTGCGGTGAAGAGCAACAACAAATGACAATTAGCAATTGCATAGATAGATACAAGAGAAAAATAAAACGTAAAAATAAAATAATAGAGACTATATTTGAGTAGCCAAGCTCCTAAAACAGTCTAAGGTATTAAACGAAGAACTAAAATACAATTTAAATTATACTTTATTATATAAAGCTGTGTTTGTTTGAACGCGCTGATCTCCGGAGCTACGGATTTGAATAATTCTTTGTTTAGGATAGTGCATTTATCGAGGACGGCTAATAAGCTATAAAACATCACGTTAGCTAGCCTAAGGCTTCTCACTGATCATGCCGTAGCGTGATGATTTTATCGTAGCGTGGCTTTAGTATTATCATCCGTCTTCTTAACATAACATTAAATCAGGCCTTTTATCCCCGAAGGGGTAGGCAGAGGTGCACATTACGGCACTTAATGCCACTGTACAATGTAACACCAACTTTTCACTGTTTATGTTATGAGTCCCATGTAATAGGGGCACATTTCCACATTTCGACTGCGCCTTACTTTGCTTTATATACTTTGCCCGACCCGGGAATCACTTCCAATCACTGGGCCAATGAGGCAGTCGATCTTCTTAATTTTAAGTATGTAGGTAAAGTAATGAAATTCAATTATTCTTTAATATCTTTGTGCAATTATGCTGTTTTATGTAAATTTAACTGACTCTTTTTTGTATCTATTGTTAATTTCAGACACAATATAAATTGTTAAATGAATAAATAAATTAATGAACGATATAGGAGCCTCGCAGAGCGATTAAAACCGCGGAAGAATAGGTAGTCATCGCTAAGCTTGAGAATTTCATTGAATGTCATTGCAACTTAAAAAATATTAATAAGTATTGTCTGTATCATTAGTAATAACGACTATGTAATATAAACGCTGTGCCCATTACATAGAAATAAATAAAAAATACTAGTATCGAATAGATCTTTATAAATTTAGCATTGACGCAAGCAAAACATTCGCTATTTTGTAGTGATTTAAACATATATTCGCTTTACATGAAAACAAGGCAGACATTTTTTAAATTTATTCGAAAAACAGCACAAACAAGGCATTATAATGTGAAAATTTTATGTTTTCTGATTTGTTTTGTATAAAGTTAAGGTGTTTTTGAAGAATAAGTCTTGTAGAATTTGTGTATTCAAGTAGAAATATGGTGGTGAATTTTTATAGAGGTTTGTATTTACTATGTATTTATTTATTTTTTAGCGCTAGCCTGCGATGACGCTTAGCTTAGTAATAATGGGGCATAGGACTATAGCTATAATATTGACGATCTAAACTGCTTAGCATGCCTTTTTAAACTCCAAACAATATTTTAAAATCTTAATAATAATAGTTGTTATTTTCAAACAATTTAAAGCTTTTTTCATGATGTTTCTACGTGACTCTATGAGTATCTATCTAACAAGAAAATCTATGTTGGTAAGCGCATAGCTTTAAAGAATACATTGCACTTATAATTACTTATAAATAATACATACAGATACATCTACCAGTACAGTCACATACAAAAATATGTACACACTTTATAAAAATCAAAATATAAATTTAAAAAAGATTCTTTAATGGATTTCATTTTATTATTAACATGTTTTGTATATGACTGACTGTACAAGGGTCTGTAGTATACTTACCCTGGTTTATTTGGATCTTGTAACTCATATGCTACGTTAAGACCTCCCCAGGAGCGCCCGGGCATAGCATGTGGTGAATGTCCTGTCATGCCAGTATCCATAGGCGTCTGAAATCAATTTATTCAAAATATGAATACACTACTTTTGATATAAACATTAAAGCAGTTCACGATGGTCATATCGGCGATACAATCGCAGATATTTATTTCGATGTTGATTATCGTCGATTATTTTTATTAATGGTTTATTTCATAATTTATGCACACAAAAAGGTACACAGGCAGACTATTTTTCAGTCTACTTCTCAGTAGTACAGAGACAGCAAAATGATAGAGGCAATGACAATAATTTCTTTTTTAATTTTAAAAGGTTTCATGCACATAATTCATTATGTACAAAGGTGGGCTTAATGCCATGGGTATTTTCCTCCAGCCAGACCTTTGGGTGACATTATGTCTGCTGACTGTCCAAATATTTGTTCAATATTTATTTTTGTGTAAAAGATGTTTGTTTGTTTATTGATATTGAGAATAGGAGACAAAAATTGAATATTAATATAAAACACTATCTAAACACGAAGGCCCTAATAGATAAAAGCCACTAATATATAATTAACGAATAAACAACATTTAACCGGCTATTATCATTTGCAAAATGAAACTTATAACTCATTAGTTTGGCATGTTATGTATGTATTTTCGCATCTGTTCACATGTGTTCGTCGGTCCCATTTAGACGCGGCTATCATAAATAAGTTGTAATTGTATGTCGTTGATATAAAACAAAATATAAATCTTTGCAGTTTATTACACATTGTGAAATAGGTCACATCGATTTGGCCCGACGAATTGTTTTATTTGACAGTCGTGGCAAGAACAAACAGGACAAAATGATATTAAAACATTATTTATAATTGACCGCCAGAACGTATACCTATATTAAAGTATTATTATTAGTATGTTAGTATTTCATGGAATTATTATTTCATTATTCAGTGCAAATAGTTTAATAAAACTTCATTTTTCAAGCCTTTTGAACTTCAACAAAACCGAAACGTTTTTAAAGTAAATTCTTTGCGTCGCCTATGAATAGCGAAGGAATGTAGAACATGCTATTTATTATAGGTACATTTTGATTAATAAGACATACTCACATTTCCATATTATAACAATCATATTTCCGTTAATAGCACTGTGTATAAACTATTCACTGCTTTCTGAACAAAACTGCCAACTACAATAGTCTTTAAATAATATATAACGTAATATCGTGACACTAGATAATAATAATTAATTGGTTAACACGAAAACTATTCACGAGTAAAAATCACAATCTAAAACGATATCTATAAACGAGCGAATTCACAAAACCGCGGGAGAAGCACACGTGTTCGTAGAGATACGGCACAGTACACACATATGCAAGTAAACTCACATACACACGCTTTTTGTTGTCACTTTAATTTACGATTATCGCGTCAAACACATCATTGTTAGCTGCGAGAACCGAGAGTACTGGCAAATGTGGTCTTACCAAGCGTCGTTTGATAACTGAATGAAACGTGGTCGTGCCCATGTGGTGGGCCCTACTACGAACCGACTATAGAGCAGGTAGGCCGAGGGGTTGGGAGCAGGTACAAAATGGCAATGTTAATCTTCGCTAGGGTGCTTAGACACGCACCAAATTTCTAAGAATATCCTTTTCTAGCGAATTTGGTAAAGTCGAGTGCTCTTTTTTTGAATCTGATAGTGCTCATCAAATATTTTTTTTTCATTTCAGTTAATACTTTATAAACAAGTTTTCGTTTTATTAATATTTTTATTTCAGAGAAAATGTAACGGACACTTCTTAAGTTCAGAACAGACAGTGAAGGTTGGAAGATAAAAATAGGGATAGTAAGAAACTCGTTCACAGAAATTATTATTGCTATTTCTGTGTGATTGTTGGACCCACATTTCGGGCCCTACAGCACATTTGTGGCAGTTGTGTACATTGTGTAGACAAGTTTATTGTTTGCTAGTTCTTTACATTCTTTATATACACCCCTGTCTTTTACAAAGTCAACTGTGTCTGGCACTTCTATTGTGTTTTTGCCATCCGACTTTTTATAGCACCTTTTAAGTTAATGTTACTTTTCTATAGTCAGAATTTTAATTAGATTCCAGATTTGACAATAGCTACTGTCATTTTGTGAAATAATGATACCACATATAATAGTGTAGTGATGAACACAAAAATCGATAAACAATCAGTGTGTGTGTTTTATAATAAATCTTACAGAAAGTGACAGGATAGCGATAGCGATGACGGCGACAATTTATAAAATAACTTATTACCATAATACATCTATCTGTTTTATATGTTATGTTCCTTCATGATTATATTTTTTATTTATTTCACACATAATTATAAAAGAAAAGTCTCAGATCGTTAAGTAATCGTCAAAACTAAATTATCGGTTCACAAATATTTAATTCCCTGATATACTTAGTTTACGAGAATAAAATTAGAAACGAGAAGAATCGATCCAGAAATATTGCATTTCCATATCGAATAATTTCGCAACGTCACTATTTAGTACTTGTCATAACGTTGCAACACTGAAATTGTCAAATCTGGAATCGAATTAAAATTCCGGGTATAGAATCTTTTTTAATGTTATGTCCAATTTACTAAGGTCTCATATCATAGTAGCGACACTTTATACACCACTATCAATAAATATAGCGTTTTATTAAATATTGTGACGTCATTATTTTTATTCCCGTTGTAATGAATACGCAAGCTGCAAACTCATTAATATTATTATTTTCGTAGTCCCCAAACTATGATATTCTCTTCTACCAAAGGTTTTTATAAACACTTCCACAAACACATCACACCCAGTCCCGGAACAAATATTCCGCAGATCGTACAAATATTTGTTCGTTGCCGGAATCAACCGACGGCCTCGCGACTGCCATGGTTGCGGATTTAGTTTCCTTACCGAACAATTCTCTATTAAATTTTATTGTACCCAATCTGGATGTCCTTCCTACTACGAAATGACCTGCCCAGTGTGGGCAACTTTTAAGTCAAATTAAAAAGTAAAATACACTAGTTCTTCTTTTTCTATTTCTTTTCTACCGTGTACTGAGAATTGTATTTCTCCTAAGGTGTGCCTTGCTATTTTCTAATGTATATTTTAATAATTGTTGTAGGCATAATATAATTGATTCTATAATATTATTAAATACCATTCTCTAACCGACGTTTTGATAACTAACAATTATGTATATTATGTTACTTCTGCAATAATAATAATTTACTCTAAGGTACCCTAGTAAAGTTGATTTGACTTTAATGGAGAGGTACAGATAGTCAACCAATTTCTCTTATAATTATTTTCGTATATATCTAAATGTCAAGTAATCTATACATAGAAGAAAAAGAAGATTGCTCATAAACAGTACTCTTGATAAATCACTTATGTCTCAAAACCTTGAACGGCATGAAATATTTAAAATTAAAATCTTTTTAAAAAGACTTTTGATTGATATTTTAGAAAAGCTATAAAACAATACTTAAAGCTGTTTCTCTTACTTCCTCTACACCACAATACATTCACTGACTGTGAAGACGTATACAATGAACTAAGGTACTATGCAATTTACGCATTCTGCCCCGTAACGACTTCATTGACAAATTGCCTGTCTTGACGCTGTTCTAAAGAAAATTGCATGTGACAAATGCGTAACATAGGGTCCCTACACTGTTATTATCGTAATTACTTACTCGTATCCAAACCCCAGATACAATAACATCTGTTTAAAAAATCTTTATGTTTCACGAATACCATTGTAAGTACCCAGATCATGCCTGCATTTCCCCTAAGGCCCTAACAGATGTAAAACGTTAATTTTTTCTGAAGTATTAAACATCTATTACATTGATACACAAAACTAATTGCGACCTCCATTAACAACTGTTGATACTAAGAGTACTTGGAAATGAACAGTAATATTCTCTTTGAAATTGTGTTCAAACTAATGAGGCTGTAATCGATCTATCATCATTAGTTTGTCGAAAAAAATAACAATGTTATTAATGTTGATAGATACTATTTCATATAACAAAATAATATCTGAAAGAGGACACAAACATGTTCTCAAATTACATTACTAATTAGCAAAATAGAAAAATGAAACTAAGATATAATATGTAACGCTGTTTCGTCTATTTCTATTATTAGTGCCATTATATTGATTACCATTGGAATATTTTTGTTGACTTCTGTACTCTACAGACTTGTAATAAATACGCAGGTATCCGGATGACGATTTACCTCCTTTAAATGGATGTGCTGAGTACTGCGTATGCAATATTTTCCAAATGACGTCGAATAATTTTTTGCAAGTTATAGGATACCTACTTAAGTCTTTGTTACTGTGTCAGTACATTTAGACATTAAACTTATTTGCATTAAAGTGTTTTTTCATATCATGAAAGATTCACTTAATACCTTCATAAAACAATAATACATTAGATACTTACACTGACTTGTTTTTGAGGCTGGTGGAAAATATGCGGCGAAGGACCTGGCATTTCATTTTGTACCTAAAGGAAAAAGAGTAGTTAATTATTCCGCGCTTTATTAGATAACAACACATATAGACATTGAGACAACATGAATTTAATAATATAAGAAGCTGAATATACTTGATTTTAATTATTATTTTAATTATATTTTACCAGCTCCAATTTCCGCGCAAGCTAAGCTTTCATTGCTCCGTAAGGAGACCATGCATCTCCTAATTTGATGGTACGTCGCACACGGATAAGCAGTCGTTGTTAGTAGGTAGTTGTAACTAAGCATGTCTCGGTGAACACACAACTGTCATCAAGTGATTACACTCTCAGTTCCGTTTTATATGACGTAACAGTTTATTCAGTATATTGTCGTACCTACAACACTCACTTTGAAGTACGCAAGCAGGGCAGTATTTTTACAATTACAAGTACCTACCCAATTAGTACATATAACCCTGGTCGATTGTACTAATTCAATACCGAATAGACTAACGACTCAGGAATATGCCCCATGATTCTATAAACCACTATATACTTTAAATATATATGAAGTTACACTGAGAGAATAAATAGAACCAGACTAGGAAAATGAATAACAACTAGTAAGAGTCACGTAACTTATAATACTGATAATGCTCATTGCTCATACCTCACTAAGCTCGTAAATATGGCACGACGATGAGGACAAAAATGTACCTATTGGTTTCCTCAAATGTAACAATATATTAGGTATTACAACATATTAGCTATGAAATTGCCGTTTTGTATGAAAAATGTAAACGAAATCTTTGCATGTATTTTTTATTTGCATTAATCGAAGTGAATACCCATGCAATCAATGATCTTTGCCAGCGCAATGGAGGTTTATTGACTCCCTACTTAAATGAATCAACTGAACGGGAGGTAACAATATACTTCAGACATTTCTACCTATAATATGGAGAAGAACAGCTAATTTATTGTAAACTTTATTTACAAAATGTTATTATACACAAAAAACGTGGCTCTCAAATCAATTTATTATTTTAAACCTATTTATTTAAAAAAACCGCATCGTGTCGTTTTAAAGCTAATTCAAGACACACAAACAGTAAAAAGTGATTTTGTTTTTATGTAGTGACTAAAGTTATGTTTTAGCGACAGTTGTGTGTCCATGAGTTAGTTATGAACCTGTGAGTGCGCTGTGAGGTTGAGCCCGTGGCTCGTGGAGGGCAACGGCACCGACACGAGAAGCGATGCAGGCCCCTCGCGATCGCCCTTGCCGCCCTACACAACCCACGCATTAGTACGCTGTGGGACGCCTACTGTTACATGCACGGACTACTCACAAAATGATAACTTTTATTATTATACCTTTCATGATACCTACAAAATTAATTATTACATTCACCGGTTAAATCACGTAACTGTTTGATGAGGACCTCGACTAGTTTTAAGACTAGGCTCATCATGAGAACTGGTAGAGTTTCTAATCCAATAGTTACAGAAGTAAGTGGGTAAACATAATAATCAATTAGGAATAAGACCTATAATTCCCGGCATGAACGATACCCTAATCGTGGGTATGGTAAGTACGTAGATTGTGTTGTTTTGTGATTATTTTTGCCTACAGCTTTCGTCGATAAATGAACTATCCAACATAAAAATATCCAACAAATAATTTTTCAATTGGAAGTCATAATTCCGGAGATAAAAACAAACAAACTCTTCAGCTTTATAAAGTACTAGCGAATCGCCCCGGCTTCGCACGGGTTTAATATTCATGTATAAACCTTCCTTACGAATCACTCTATCTATTTAAAAAAACCGCAACAAAATCCGTTGCGTAATTTTTAAGATCTAAGCATACATAGGGACAGACAGACTGCAGATAGCGACTTTGTTTTATACTATGTAGTGGATAAGATATAAGATAAATAAAAAATAAACTATAATAAGATTTCATGATTAACCCAAAATTCCCTCTCTTTATTCAAGTTAATATACTACCAAGTAGTTGTGGTTAAAACGGAAAGATGGCAATAACCACAAAATACACAATGCGCGAACTAAACCCCACTACCTACGACAAGATCTGGTCATCGTCCGCGCCGGGATTTTTACTATGACTGACGCACACCAGTCGCCGTTTACTAGAATTGTGCACTTCCGTTTGTGTAATACTCCGTGGTTGCATGCGATGCGGTTCGATATTGATAAATTAGACGTATCCCTAACTAAGTGTTTCCACTTTCACATAGCCTTTGAAGCGCTTTTTTTTTATTTTTCCTCGTGCACTTGGAGACAATGTAACATGATAATGAGAGTAACAAACAAAATTATTTAGAACTGCAGCGGGAAATACATGTTACATCTGCTATAAATTAGACAATAGGTATTCTAAATTATTACGTATGTATACAAGGTGTTGTTTAAAAGCCGCATCATTTTCTAGGAGGTAACTCGGCTATCGATTCTGAGACCGAATCAATAAAAAAAATTTTAGGTAAATATTTTTCATTTTTCTGAAATTACGGGAAATCCGTAAGTGCGAAGTAGGTACACGCCGCCGTCTTGTAACTACCTTTATAACGCGGCTTAACTCTTTCAGCACCTTTTCTTAGAAACTCAATTTTTGAAGTATGCTTCAATGCTTATGCTTATGCTTGGTTTGCATTTATTTTTAAGCATTTCCGTATATTTAGATAAAATTTATTAGTAACTAGTTAAAAGTGTGACTGAAAGAGTTAACACACAAACTCAAACACGTAATTGATATTATTAGTAATTCCATAAAACTCCAATAAGAAACATTGCTGTCGCTTATTCTGAAATACTGTCGAACTTAAACGATTTATTATAGCCGTATTTTTAACTATTGGCCCGAAATTTTCTTTTACATTGAACTTTTATGACTTCTGTGACATGCATGCCTCCGAGAAACGACACGGTTTCAAAACTACATCTTGTATAGCAATGCGTATGCGTTCGAAATATTATTGACATAAAATATAAACGAGGGTATAATAACTTTTTGGTAAATCAACGGTAGGTACCTAATTTTACAGTTTCAAGGCGTATTTTAAAAATATTGGTTATTTCGAAGCGATATTGAAGCACACAAAGGCATTCGTCAAAAAGCGAAGCTTATTTTAGTTACTCGAATGCAATTCAAATTATATACGAATGAATTAAATATGTCATTTTCTGTAACTGTAAGTATATATGAGGTATAACATAAATGAATATGTTTATATATTTTTAAGTTTTTCTTACTGACCTGTGGGTTAGATGGCGAGCGTATGTTTGATACTTGGTTCATTCCACTCGGCCCCGGCATTGGACTAGGCAGGTGCCTGGATGAAATACATAGTCATGAAGAAGGTACATACATACGTAGAATAAACACATTTTTGTCTCTAAAGGCAAAGTACAGAGGACTACCGACTATACTTTAGAAACAAATTCATGCTAGTTTAGAATTCGCTCCCGGTACCAACTCCTTTAGGATATCCCAAATGATATCAAAAAAGAGCGTTTAGATTTAAACTGAGATTAGAAAATCTTTATCAATCATTTTGTTATTAACAAACCACGTAATTCATTTCCCCGAAATAGCAGGTGCTACACATCTACAGATAATTAAAAAAAATTGTCCATTGTAGCACGGGGTCTGGAATTGTGCTTGGTTTATGGCAAAAGGCTCACCCTCTATTACATGGGTAGCATAAATAGTGAAAAGTGGGTGTTACATTCTACAGAGGCATTAGGTGCCGTAATGTAGGTACACCTCTGCATTCACCTTCGGGGATAAAAGGCGTAATGTTATGTTATGTTTATGAAAACGCCGAATAACACTGGGAGTCGAACCAGAGAATAATGGCACTGCAGCTGTCCTAGCAAACTAACAAGGTAGTCATTTGGCAACTTACCGAATGCATTGTCCATACATTGTTGACAAATAGTTTAGTAAATAAAGAGGGTTGGTTATGAAGGGTATGTTCCCCACTAACTATGGAACTTATAATTACAGCACACAATCAATTTAATGGCTATATAGTTTCACAACAAAGTAAACATGTCAATATGGGTGAAACAACTATAATTTTCTTTTGATTACAGACAATATTTTAAGTTCTGTCAAATTTATTTTAAATAGACTTATTGTTATAATAATTTAGTTGCTACAATTGAAAATTAATTCTGAATTTGTATGCTGTTGTAAAACACTGAGTATTCATATCAATGGCAAGCTTTTAGAGAGGTTCATGTCCCACAAAGAACGGAAACAGGTTGAGACTAAATGAAGCTATGATTTTTAGCTACCAAACACATTTGTTTTCTAAATATATTTACGGTTATTGTTTTGCAGAGTAAGCCTATCCTTTTCTGGGCTACCACTTAAATATTCTTGTGTTTGTTTTGAGTGATATTCTAAGCAAATGGGAAGAAGACAATCTGAACACATTTAACTTTTTTGTACCTTATCTATTTATAGAATAAACATGCCTTTACTTATATTTGCAATAAATATCATCATATATCATATTATACCTTGGACTGGGATTAGAGGCCGGGCTATGTGCCGGTGGCGGAGGAGGTGGCGGAGGCGCGGGACTCACGCTCGCGAAGTGAGACGTCGGCACTGGAATCGCTTCTAGACCTTCCGTCTTAGCCTGTGTAGAACAATTGTCATGCGTATATATTACATTTTAAAACAATAAACTTGAATATAAATGTCAACATAATGAAATGATTTCAGAGAAAGGGTCCGCAACATGAATTATAATAAACTACTAATACAACTGCTTAACTGCAGTTGCATCTTATAACATTTTGCTATTAGATTATAACTATATTAGGAACATGGGTTTATTTACTATCAATTCTCATTTAAAACACTTAGAAACTATACGCAAGCTCGATCAAATTGTTTCCCGGATGATTAGCTAGCGAACGGTAATTTGTATATAGAGAAGACACAAAATATCACACATTCTACATAAATAAAGCACGCCTCTAAATGACTAGTCAACTAAAAATGAAGCTAAAACTACTAGTTTATGTAGAAATAATGGTGAATGAATGATGATATATGCTATGTTATTGATACCTTCTTAATAATTTTGTCAACGTTTTCCAGCGGTACATCTGGTGGCACGTGTGTGGCCTCCCAAACTCCTCCGGGTTGAGAAGTGCCTTCACCCGCCTAAATCATATCAAAACTATTATGTATCTATATTTCACTACTAACTAATATATAAAAACCGAGCTTATAATGCAATTTCTACTTTAAATTTAGCTACAGACCACATCTAACTGTACTTCTACGAGTAGTTATAAAACCTTGTCCCGACCAAGACAGATTGGTACTGCTAAAATAATGAAGAAATCGCAAAATACATAGATCAAACTCAGTATTAATGCCAAACCGCATTTCCAGTACACTTTTTCTGACTTTTGGTACTAGACAAAGTTTTAAAATTTACATAAATATACTTTATACAAATCATAGTTTAAAATAATCTTACCCCAACAGGCGGTGTACTGTTATTAGTATAATCGACTGGAGCGTTCATGTTATTAGCAGCTGCAATTGCCTTCCTCTTCTTTGTTTGTTTTGTCTCCACTAAATCTGTATTAGTGATCACTGATTCTTGGTATGTCGGCTTTGAAGTTGGTACCTGCACCACCGATGCAGGCACTGGAGCACTGCGAAAGAAAAAGTTTGTCAAAATAGAATATACATTTGTACCTAGGTGCATATATTTTGATACAACTCTTGTTGTGATGACAATACAGTCTATTGTGTCAGTTCCAGATCCAGTATATTGTGAATCACAATTGTATGTGGAGTCACATTCAAGTACCTATGTTTTTTTCAATTAATTCAATCAATTGAAAAAATAATCATATAAATCAAACTTACCTAGTCGGATTGGTAGTGATGGTAGACACGGAGGCTACTGCCTGTGCTACTGAGCTGATGACTCCCACTGGTTCTACTGGTTTGTTGGCGCTGGGTGATGCCGCTGGGGGCGTCACCTTCGGCGGAACTGCCGGCGTAGAGCTGCCTGACGCTGTAACAATAATCAGGGCGTTACGCCTCTTTGTTTTGTACTTTAAAACAATTAATAAGCCGTATATCGTATGTGTAAAGACAAAACAAACATATCGTTCGATGTAAGGTAATTTGTGTTAGTTTATTCATTTTGAATATCTTTTTCACACTTGCTATTCCAACTTACAGTGTAATTTGTTATGTTGACCAATACCACAATAAAACATCTTTTTTAAGCCACTGCAATAGACTGGTGGCTAAAGAAAATAAACACTACAGGGCACTGGCATACAGCCTTTGATACCAACTTTTTCTTAGATTAAGATTGTGACCTCATTTGTGACTGGTAGAATAATAATTAAGATAAGGAGTAATGCCATATAGAGACTGACCGCAACATGAGTTTCAGTGTCAGGTATCCCATAAAGATAAGAATGTCCACAGACTTTGGTTCGCGATAAATGACTGTGTTCTAAGCAGTTTTAGTGCCTGGTAAGAACTTTTTATGTACTTGGTTATTATTACTAGTAAACAATCGGTACAATTCGTTTGAACGTAATTCAATACGCAGGAGGGCAATTCAATAATATGCGTTATTGAATTATAAGAAACTTATATCGGAACTAGCGAAAATATGCTATTAAGTTTACATTTAAGCGTGCACCTCATGGAGTAAGTAACCAATACAAATCACCTATTCAAGATAGTTTAATAAATTACCTTTGGGTTGAGCTGCTGCAGTCTCAGTCGTGTGCTGCGGCGACGGCGCCGGGGTACTGGTCTTACTGCTGGAACCACCGTCTCCAGCAGACGAGCCCCGGCGAGACGGCGACGGTTTCTTCTTGTCTGACGAATGATGCAATTTGCCACCTAAATACCATTGTATTACGTTGACCAAACGAGCACATGCACAACGCAAACATAACGACAAGAACTAACATTCACATATCTATGCGATACCGTTACCTTTTAATCCATTTGTAACACCCAACCAATAGAAAACCATTCATCCTCGAAACAAACCTCCACTTCATCATAAACGTCTATAAATATACATACATACAAGTACATAAACATGCATAAAGTAAACATATACTCGACAATACATGTATAAAAGCAGGCTGTCACTTACCTATCCGTATATTATTAGAAATAACCATAAAACCGAAAGCTACACCTCCATCATGTCGACTTTCTACGATAAACGCTAAAGGAACACTAACATCAAACAATCAGCTTCGCATATCAAAGGGCTATTCCGTAATAAGTAACTCCTTGCTTACAGGACAAATTATTTATTAAAACAGCGGCAAAACAATCGATGTAATGATACGTTTCTATGTTTTATGCACCCTGGCTGTACTTTACTGGGGTATGCATAGCACTATTATTGATTACGTAATTACCATAGCAAACAGACATAGGTACCAATAGTATCAATATTACAGCTCACAATTTAATTTTTCATTCAGTAATTGAGCTGCATTTTTTATCTGACTAGGCAGAATATTGTTTAGTAGTGAATTCTTGTTGTATTGCAGCTTTATATAAAGCTGTTATAACTTATTCTACAGTCAAACGTTGAATCGTTAAAACGTTTTATTACAATTTTATTTAGCATAGATTCTTGAAATTAGGGCGATTATTTTAATTATAAAAACATGTCCTCATGTGGACAAGGAGTTATTCCTTACAGACCCTTTCACAAGACGTTTTTGATAAGGAACATCGATGCAAGAGCTAACATGCGACAACATGAACGTTAAAAAACGAACTTTTCTCAGAAGCCTTGTGTTTTCGAGTGACCGGACCCGATTCTGTGATATCTTGCGACATTTCTGCTGATGACACGAGTGAAAAATTACGAATACCATTAGTTTACATTTAACAAACAATTATTGATGATATTTTCTCTTTTAAATCAGATTTTTTACTGTATAGGACAGTTGTAGATTAGGCATTATTCTGAACACCTAGTCAGAAATGTCAATCATCTAAATATCATTAGATGAATGCAGGAATAACTAGTCTGTAAATTGTGCATCTTTATTTTAAATTTTGACTTTCTCAAAACCTCTTAAACACTTAACTTGGTTAATTAAGAGGTCGCGTGAGATGTCAACAAGGAAAAATTCAGTTACAACATAAGAATATTTAAATAAAGCTAAGATCTCGTGAGAAGTGGAAATATATGATAAGGCACAGTTGGTAATGTCAAAAATATAGACATTTGTTAGGCATTTCGGAAAAAAACACAAAATTAGTTGACTTCACAAAAAAGTAGTCATCTTGGGTCTATCATAGCATTTATTATTTACACAAGATTACTGGACAACTTTTTTAACTACCATAATATAATAAGGGCAATATTATATACTTTTTTAAACTTGATTCATTATCTATGGAAGCACTTGTTATTTACTCACCCATTATTTGGTTTTGATTCGGAGTTTTTGATGCGTTTGGAGTGCTCTTTCCTGAGACCACGGTGTTTGTTGTATGCGATGACTTACGTCCCGGCTATAAACACAAGTAAACAGATATACGAACATTCAGGGAGCTATTGAAGAGAAAGCACTGTGGTGCAAATAATAAAATTATAAACCTAGATAATTTGCAATTCTACATTTTTATAAACATTTACAGTCTGACTGCTGTATGCCATATAATAAATGAGAATTTAACACAAAGTATATTATTATTAAAAAAATATTTAATTTCCATAATAATAACAGTGTTATTAACGGACCTCAAATTGGGTTGATTAAAATTACGAAATATTAACATCTGTTCCAATATTTTTCATGGATTTTGTCATTCACTTAGTCATTTCATTTCATTATTTTTACATTATCAAGAAACAAAGAGAAGCAGTTTCAGATTAAATTTTGAAACGCCGGTCCGAAACGGTGATCGTGAAAGCACAAGCATTTAACATAGAGTATTACAGTAATGAGCTGGATGGAAGGTGGTGGTGGCTACAGAGTCGTGGTGGATGGCAGTGGTGGCAGCCTTGAGACGTACGTACCCCTTTGGACTTGCCAGCGTGTGTCGGTGTCACGCCGCCGCCAGTCTTGGGCGAGCATGAGGGTTCGCCCTCCTTCTCGCAGCTCGAGTCGCTCGACTGACTATCGTGCGACACCGGCTTGTATGGCGGGATCGTCTTTACGTTACCGCCCTTTTTCTGCACAGTTAACGTTCGGCACCGTATCACACACAGCTCATTAACACCGGCTATAATTTTGATGTCCAATATAACGAGTGCACACTAACCACTATGAAACAGGATATTTGTATTCAATAATTGATTAACCTTTAAGCATTGTAGACATGAACACTACTCTATTCTACTCTAAACTAGAATTATGACTTCCAATTGTTTATATAATGAAATAGTTTTAGTACCTTGGCGATGATGGTGACATCATGATTGGTGAACTAAAAAAATGATAATGAATGAATAAATCAATTTTCATGCACACTTGGTGGCGATGTATCGCAGTAATTAAGTGCTGTAAGGCCAACATGATAACAAAATGACAAAGTGAAAATGTTAGACATTAAACGCGTACTCAACACAATAATCAGCTCTGAAGATCGAACAAAGTCATCTAAATGCTGGCGCACATTACTTGCACAGATAGTGCGCCATTTCTTTTTAAACATTTCGCTGGTTTATGGTAAGCGGTGTTATTGCACAACTGTACGGTGCTCATTTTTCCAGTAACAGGCGCCAGTCTTCAGAACGTTCGGAGACTGTCTTATGGAGGTGTATAATCTAAATGACAGGAGTGAACACTGACAGGTTTTAGTGTTGTATTAATTACACAGATTATACAGACAATGCTAATGACATCGAAGTGCATTTGACAGGGAATGGTAGGTACTTCATTGATTTTTTCGTTGATGATCTTAGGTATATCATTATCAAATGTAGATAATAATCCGCTGTGATAATCCTACAAAAATCGATAAACGAATCGATTCAGTACTTTGCTAATGGTTTTCAGAACCTCAATAAGCACACATCACAACAAACACACTCACAGATACATAATACCACATATTTCACGTCATACAACAAATATATTAGTACCGTACCATATTTGATATTAGAATACAAAAGCAGCGTTAGGTTGTGACCAGCAACTAACAGCATTCATGTTAGATCAAAAATTGCTTGGAATGTTTGGCCTACATTGACTTGAATTGTTATTTGATTTTGACTTTGATAAAGGACTATTCCAATTTGAACTCACCAGTTTACTGTAGTGGTGCTGGCAGTAGCCGCAGTACTTTACATTGTCCAAATAATTGCCAGCTTCCTCACAAAGGAGGCCTAAGCCTTGTGCACAGGTCACGTGGAACTGCTGTTTGCAACCTTGTAAAGAAGAAATAATATATTGTAAATCATAATAACATTGCGAGTTTTATTGAAACTTGAGCAGTGGTTTTATTATAAATTCGGTTAAGGGAATCCGGGATGATAAACTTGAAGTTACTAAAGATAGTAGAAAGAAAACAATACACAGAAACGACCCCTATGTCAGTCAGCAGTTTATAGACGGGACCGTCGTGTGTTATATCATTTTCATTACATATTTTTAGTTAGAAGACGTAACGAATGAGAATATTCAATATTTGGCGGGATTTCGTGAAATGCCGGATTTTTCATTTCCCTGCGACTACTATTGATATAATGACGATTCGTATTCCATTTCTCTATGTTTACAGAAGGTATAAAAAAGGAAAGTAGATAATTAAAGTTACCTGATTTGTTGCACTGCATGCAAGCACCGGCATTCGCGCGGTGTGTCTTACCCAAATCTTGGCAGATGTAACACGTCTGAAACATATAAAATACATAATTAATATCGAATAATAATACAACTAAATATTATACAAAGATCCAGTGCACACATTGATATGGAATTATGGATACAAAATGATGATATGCATAATATGAACATACATTATCAATCGTGTTCATTTTAATGTTTAACCAACTGGCAGAAATATGAGTGTCTGACTGGTTACAAGTAAATGCATAGAAATGTATGATCATACCTTATTATATCTCTCTGGTGGAATCAAGCGCAGGACAATAGGTTCCATAGACGTCACATTGCCGAATCTGACCTCGGGGATGTACAGCGCACACACCACGTGAGCCCACCCGCCAGTGTCTGACCTCTTCAAAGCCCCAGACTTAGACGGGCATAACTCGCAGCGCTGGAAACAAAAAAAGAAACTAAATTTAGAATAACAGTCCTCACGAATAACGCCAAAGTATGACCACACTTACAACTTTATTTTTCGTTTCTGGACTTTCACATTTCCGACAAAACCATGGACCTGTTGGCACTGTGACAATACCGTAGCATGCTGAAAACATTTCAATCTAGATAAAACTCTAAAGAACAAGTTAAAACGACCAACAAAATGAATATTAACAAAATATTTGTTGATGCCTTAATCAGCTCCTAGCCACAGCTAGACATCAACTCTTGAAACTAGTATACCTTGATGAACTGCAACAGTGCAGCCATTTCCGTCACAGTAGACAAGCGGGTTGTCGGGCCAACCCCGCTCGTCTGAGCACACGCAGCAGCCTCCTACCATCTCCTTCATTGTGTACTCCTCATTATTGACTTAAAACCTACAAAACCTTCATACTTGTACACCAGTTTACAAAAGAAACAACATTTCAATGACCAGGTCATGAAATAGCAATGTATTAATTTGTAAATGTGCTGAACCGAATACATCACCAGGTAATTTGACCCTATGGAAGCTTAAGATGGTTTAGATGCCAAACACAAATGATGTGTGTAACAATGATCAAACATATGCACTAGCAATGAATGTCTCTAACACTTCAAATTGAATTAAGCTCTCATTTGACTACCATAGTGTTACTTTATGTATCTACAAATGATATATAACTATAATTTAAGATATTAGACTTAACTATTAGCCCGTTGTTAGTAGAATGTTTTGATGTAGGTATTGACATAGGCAGACACATACATGGGAATGTATTGAGGACTATTATAATAGACAGGCCTGTAATCATTATATAGCATGCATTACGGTGTGAGAAACATCCAAAATATTAACACTTACTGACTAACAATCCAAACCTAAAGCTATATTTAATATTCAAGTATGAATTGTATGTTATTTATGTAAGATGTAAACTTATTTTCAGCAGGTGGCATTTTCCCAGACTATGTTTATAAAGAACAATGTTTGACCTACAAACCCAATTACGAAGACGAAACCATACAAAAGGGGGAGTACTAAAGTTCTATAAGTACTTTAGTATTACATCATTTCACAACTTTTCTGTTACTTTATTTAGCAAAAAATGTTTTGTTTTGATCATTTTTGTTAGTAAACAACGACTCTCTTTAGTAACTTTGTAGCATAGTTTAGTAATTATCAATTAGATTTTACATATTTTAAAGTGTGCTAGTCTATAATACAGTACATTACATTTTTGCTCAGTCATAGTCAAAGATTTAAACAACTTTATTTAATTAAAAAACATTATATTATCATAGCATTCACAGTAACAACACCTTTCAATTCTTGAAGAGGTAAGTAACTGTTCACGTTAAGAATTTAACACCCTTTCCAATGCCAGTTACGTTTGAGTTCCATGTAATAGGGTAATCCTAATGCCACATACCAGGCTCATTGTAATTTTCTTGTTTAGTAAATGAAGTGAATAACATTGATGTAAAAATAGTTTCAAATACTAGTTAATATTATCTACAAATTATACATTAAATACTACAATATCTAATGTTATTTACATTTAAACGTGAACCTGATAAGCAGATAGCTAACAAATACAAGTAATGTACCTATAATATGTATAGTATGCATGAAAACTGAGTTCATATTTAGTCGAGATAACATAAGTTGATGTCATAGTACTTAATACATCGAGATTAATATGTTGATATATCAAACCTAAAATCCCCTAAATTCATTCATACAAACATAGTCTCTAAACATCGGAAATAAGGTCTATAATGGAGTTAGTGGAGACCGGTCATCGGTGACCACTTGGGAATTTAACAGTTAATCCATAATTATGAGTTAATGATAATTATGGACATGTTATTAAAGTAGAATGTTATTTTGCAATTAGTATGGTTAAGTTAAAATAAAAACTAGATAATATTTTTGTACTAACAAAAACTTATGACGAAACAATGAACAAGAACAATTCTTGGTAAAAATGTCTGATTGGTAGAAAGTTATTTTTATTTTATTTATGCAAAACCATCAATTCTGAAGATTATTTGCGTATAAAATATAAAATTTTTGTTAAAATATAAAATTTGCGTCATATAAAATTTTTGTTCAGAACGTAAATTGACCTCTATATTAAATTACTAGCACCCCGTCCCGGATTCGCACGGGGTTCACAATTATTTATTTTTGGAAATTTGGATTGTTGTAGTGACATAACTACAATAGTTGGACATATGCTACCGCGGAGTTTTTTGTAGACATTATGATGTTCTTCAATATTGTTGTACATTATTATGTTCTATCTCTAATAGTTTCGTCAGCGCATTTGTCGAAAGACATTTTAAGACTCATTTTTCTACACCTACGGTTACATTGTTCAAATTTTACCAAGGAACCCGAATTTTTTTCAAAATGAAATGTAGCCTATGTCAAATTTGAAGAATGTAGCATTCTATTGGTGAAAGAATTTTTTAAATCGGCCCAGTACTTCTTGAGCCTATTCATTACAAACATACAAAAATAGGTACAAATCTTTCCTCTTTATAATATAAGTATAGAAGTATAGAAGTATAGATTAGTATAGATATAGATATGCCAGTGTCATTTTTGAGTTGTTTACCTTTTCACACAAATAACTGAAGCAATTTTAGGAACTGGGAATTATTTTATATTTATTTATTTTATTTATGGGGATAATCCTACCTATCTCTATTAGATATTTATTTAAAGATGAAATAGATTAGATTAAAATCCTTATTTTTTTTAAGAATTTAAAGTAGGATTAAACTAGGTACTGTTCTTAAACTGTCAAACACCAAGCGGTCACCGGTGACCGCAACCTATTGTTCTATAATGACGTTACTCAACGAGTTAATGTTGATAAAAAAGGTTATGTTTACAGTCCATAGGGGAACATACTGTCAGTGGGAGACATTTTTACTTTCTCTTAGGGACCACCCACAGACAATCATATTTTTACTAACAATGTTTTGTTTTATTAATTGTGGAATGTTTTATTTATAGTTTGACATTCTAAAGTGCTGTTATAGTCTATTTAACTTTGACTTGTAGGTAACCTAGTATGGAGTATTGTTGTTGTTGTTATAGTTCATGCAAGTTCCACCTTGAATAAACACTTTATTGCTTATTTTCCTAAGAAGTGATATTACTACATATTCCTAATAGTTCATATCTTCACTAATTAAATTCATTTTTACCTAGTTTATTAGCAAGAGTTCAATATACTTTTATAGTTTCTAACTGGAAGACCTAACAATCAATAATGCAATATTTACAATGCAAAATTTACATTTTGTAGATGGCCTTTGGCATTGTACTTTAAAGACTACTAAATATTCGTAATAATAGAGAATATTGTACAATATAGACACTCATTAGGTGTAGTTTATTCACCTTTAAAACTTAATTGAGAGGTGGTATCTGCTTATGGCATGTCTTCACACAGTTTTGTCATGAGTGAGCATGAGGATGGCACTAATATAATATTTATATACAATGTTAGGACTTAATAAGCAATATTTAATATTCCAAAGCAAGAGCCAATACAGTTTGAAGTGTAACACCAATGAATAATGCTGTGAATATTTTATGACAATGAATAACTTACAGCTTCCATCTAGTTATATTTACCAATAGTAAAATTATCCGTTTATCGGTGGAGAAATTCCCAGCAACAATTGTTTAATTCATCTTTAATTTACAACTGATATCTTTTATCACCTCACCTGCGCCTAGCAAGAACGATAAAACGATGTGTAATTACACAGAATCGACAGATTTTAAATAAACCCGGTTAAACTAGTTTGAAACTTGAGATAAAATGGAATTTTTACAGTAAATTACACCGACTAGAAGTAATTTATTGATGCAAAAAAGTCAGTAAAATTATTCGCTCGCTGCCATTAACTAGAAGTAGCTTCAAGTAAAGCCATGTTGAATTTTGTTTGGAATGTATACTGAAGAGGTTTGTGTCAATTCTAGCATGAAATAAAAAAGGAGAAAGCAAGATACAATTTTCATATGAGTAGCAGAGACAAACACATGTTCCAAAAACATATTATATGAGAGCGCTGGAACGCGCTTGTATTCAATGTTCGTAAGGGTTAGGTCATACTCAATTTAAATAGGTAACCTAGTTAGGTTCGGTATGTTGGTAGAATTGTAAGTACTAAACAAAACATCGCGATCGCGGTCGCGTTTAATGCGCGCGCAGCGTCCGCGGGTTGATGCATTGCAGGTTGTATTGATTGATTAAAACCGCGGCCGGGAAAATAAGAATGTAAATAATGTTGTATAAACAAAATGTATACTTCTCGATGTTACCTGTGGAGGTCCTATTTACTAGTTATAGGTTGGTTTATTTTTCTTGGACCCGCTGGCTTCGAAACTATTATGTTATCTTCTACCTATTCTAACACGCTCATAACAAAAGCATTACTAGCTAAATTCAAAAAACTCAATGTTCATTAAATAGCTAACTAAAGTAGGTAACATTAAAATTCTCTGGTTAAAATTGGAACAAAAAGTACCTAATGAAACGTAGGTAAATAAAGTGTTCTACCATCACGTGAAGATTGAGATTCGCGTCTCTATAGTTAGGTACTGTCAATGTCACATAATACTAAATACAAAACAAAACAGAGTTTGCACAGATAAAGCCACGAACATGCCCGTTCGCGTTTTGCGTTTACCAAAAAAAGTACTCTGACTCTGTCTGTGGTCCCGTTCGTGAATTTGGGAGGGTGGGAGAATTCGAGATTCCGTTGATGGAGGGACAGACTTAGGAGTTGCCAACAATGAAAATATTTATTTCATTTTAAAAAACAAAATTGAAATACATCGTCAAAACTTTGATCCTAAATATTCCTCCCCCTCTGTAGTGTCTGCCTACCACCCACACCGATATTAGTTATAAGCAGGTAGCCTCTATAGCATAGGTCATTCGATCAATATTACAGCGGAGGCGCGAAGCACTGCTCACCCTGTACAGCGCATAGCGACGGCGACCGTTGCTATGGGCAACCAAGCTTTCAACAAACTATCAGACCAAAAGCAAATCATAGATGACGCTACGGTCGCTGGTTGTAGCATTATTTTAGTCTTTAAATCTTAGTAAGTTTTAGGTAATAAAAAATCGTAAAAAAATATTAAATAGAAAACGACCTATGACACTGTTTAGGAAATGATTTAATTGAATAACATGAATTTCTCAAAAGCTACCTATCCAATCTATTAGCCGTTTCTTCTTGTTTTCTTATAACACCGATGTTTTGAGCGGCACAAACAAAAACTAGCACAACTAACTTTTGGCAAATAAATATAAGTAAGTTTTTTGAAGTTTTATATCAATGTCGGTACTTGGGTTGTAGGTGAATTAGTGATTTAACGAACCTATTGATTTTATAGCAAACAGAAAAGTAACTACTTGGGACAAAAAATCTGTTTGTACCTATATTACTACCTCCAAAAACTAATGGACAAATTTCAATGAAATTGTTTTGTTGTACAGCTTATTCCTATGTCTGGGCAACATATAGGGTACCTAAGTTTTGTTTTAGAAATTGCAACATCTAGAACGCTTAGTGATCAGGGGGTACCATAGGCTGTTTTTTTGCATCACGCTGACGAAGTGCAGTTAGAAAGTTAGTAGCCATCTAAAAGATATTCATAACAATCTTACTTTTAGGACCAGACAAGCTGAGGTTCGGTTCTAGGAATTGCCAGGTGGGTGACCGGTGAAATTGTCAGTGGGATGAGTGCAATGTGAAGCCGATCAATATTTTGCATCCCTCACCTCAACCCGCCGAAATTAATGCAGCCCTTACGCGCATGTGCTGCACTGTTTTCATGTCTCCTCAACAGATGCCACCTATGCTACCTAAATGCAGTTTTCATTGTATAAAAAATATTTCAAAAATTTATTCATAAAAAATGTTTTTTTCTCATATCCACGATACCTACTTAAGAGCCTACCTATATAATCTTTTAGATGCATTATAATAACATCACGCCTCATATTTGCTGAAGCGATAGGACAAGTAGAGACTTAGGTAATACAAAGGTTTAGTCACTTTTAAGAAGTTTCTGATGTGTTGTGATGTTTAAAAGTTCGACAAGCTAACAAAATGACCCTACCATTGCGATTTTTACATGCCACAATCTACGATTAGAATTTAGTTGAACCCGAGACCCCCTTAGGTACTCAAAAATCGCACGTGCGTCTTATCATTCGACCAATGAGACAGTCAGATCAATTTTTTTTTCAAATTGACCGGACGTTAAATAATCGCATGTTAGATAACGCTTTTAATTTCTCAGTGCCGCCACTTAACACGTGCAGTGACAGAAAAGTTCGTTCATCAAAACTGCTGCCTCCTAGCCAATCAATCTCTATAAGAAAGGCCGTACCTACAGTCTGCTTTATCAAACAGGCTGATAGTTCAATAACATGTACAGAAATTAATAACAGATCAAATCTCATATTGTTATGTCTTTACTATAATAAGTTTTATCTGTGGGTTTTATCATTTCCCCCCACGCAGTACGCACCCCACTCAGTACGAAACCACATAAAAGGTTGTCTGTCATCTACCTATATCCTACGTTATTATAGAAACGTAGGGCTCAAAGTCCCGTCACCGCACCCTCAAATGGTAGATGAAAATCAATAGGCACTCAGTACCTAATGCAACGCATCAACCTCCCAAAATAAAGAAACGAGCCTTGTTATTATCTGCCGAAATTATCGATTGCAAGTTAAAATTTCTACATCGATCTATTTAACAAATTAAATAGAAGAAAAGCTACTTGAGATCGTCAATCTGCTCCAATCGACATTCATTCTCCATGATGAGTACCTATAGGCCTTTGCCTCGTAGCGCGCAGTCGGACAGTTCCTCACCTTAGTTCAAAGTCCTATTGATCATGAATGAATCGTTAAGGTAGAAAAGGCGCGATACTTAATCTGTTATGTCTAACTTAAAAGGGCACAATGCATAATCTAACGGCAGGTCAGTGCAAGGCCGCTGAGCTGACGTCAGTGTTTTGCTTTTGTTTAGTAGGTTTTTAAGGGGGGAAAACCCTAGAGAGAAGGGAGAGAAGTCATTGAGAGAGTAGAGTAGAGAAGTAAGATTTCGAAGTATTTAGTAGGCAATAGCAATAGCATATAGTTCCTGGAATTTTTAGCTGTAAAATGAGGAAAGAAGGCATCGACCTGAAACTGTAGCGACTGTGGTGGAGGTTCCAGCAAAGATACGTTAAGCTCTTATACCTCAAGAAAGACTTTACATTAACTGGACTTCTTGCCCTGTCAGAGATTTTACGCTCTTCACCCAATGCTATAAATGTCAGCAGTATGTGTCTAAGTGTGGGAGAGCCATGTTTCGGCACGAGTGACACCGCGGCCTCACAGAAAACCGACGTCAAGTAACGCTTGCGTTGTGTTTCGTCGTGTGAGTGAGGTTACCGGAGGTCCAATTACCCTCCTCTTCCCCAATCTTCCCAATCCCTGAATCCCCAACGATCCTCAAACTCCTAATCCCCAAAAGGCCGGTAACGCACTTGTAACGCCTCTGGTGTTCCAGGTGTCCATGACAGTGGAGGCGCCGGAGCAGGTCTCTTTTAGAGGACCCGGTGCCTCCATTCAGGTGTTGAGGGTGGCCACCGGGGTGGTTTTAGTGAGGTAAAAATCCCACACTCCCTAGTCTTTTATCCCCAAAAAGGTTTTGAAGGTTTCCCCCCGTCATCAAAAAAAAAAAAAAGGTGTCCATGAGCGACGCCGATTGCTTACCATCAAGTAGGGTCACGCAGCAAAACGTGCCGCGAGTTCTCCTCATTGTGTGGCCATTGAAAGAAATACATTTAACATCTGCGTGTAAAAAGAAAATGGAGTCCCCCAAACACGCAACTTGTTCTCGCTTAAACCCAGCCAGCATAAAACTGGGGACGCTACGTGTCCAGGAAGATAGCGAAATATAGGTATATCAACTCAATCGCCAATGAGGGCGCATAGAGAGTGCGAGTTAAATAGCTTTTGCTCGCAAATAATTACACAAATCATCACATTTTGTATTGCCTTGCATCACATTGCACCTAATAAGGGAACGACCGAATGAATTATAATGTAACCTACATTATGTTTTCTGCTGATGGAAGAATTCGATCAATAATAATATTTATTTTAAATAAATGTTAATTTAGTTATTTTATGTATTAGGTATCAATATATCTAAAAATATCATAAGAAGGGACAATTTTAATCTTGCATTTTTGACAATCCCCATCATCATCATCATCATCCACAAATTGTTGTTCCGGGTCTGGGTGTCATGTGAATGTGAACTTGTATGTTTGTAAACGCACCTACGACACAGGACAAAACGGTAGTGTGGTGCAAATAGTTTTTGATTATTTATAAATAGCATCACGGCTCATGTTCCCCGAAGGTGATAACGTGATAATATGCAGCCTATATGTTGACCCGACCTGTTAGTAATATTCACGCAAAATTTGAATTAAATCCATGTAGTACACACGGCCACACATCAACCTATACAAAACCAGTTTATCCTGGTGTCGCGTCGCATCATCTTTCCGCACATTTAACGTTCAGATTATACTGGTTATGTAAAGCTCGATGTGTAGCCGTGTGCCTACTTTTTGAGATCATCCCGGAAATACATACAGTCAATCCGACAAATAGACAAAAATTTCAAAAACCATATAGGTATTTGGCTTCGGTATCGCTGTAGATCACGCACTAAGTATTCTTTAAAAAAAAAAATTCAATTTAGAGTTTTGACTTTTCTACGATTTTATTATATGTATGTATATAGATATATAGATATAGACACTAGTAGAATGGCCATTTTAATCTGAATAAAGATTATGTCTTATTCCTATTTCTTATTTCTAATTTTGCCCTATGTATCGCAATCGCAATGTGTTTAACACTCAAAGCTTATAACATAGAACTCAATACATAACTGAACGAGTAGTGTTTGCCCGGGAATCAAGGGCCTAGGTGTGTCGATGACAGGTGGTATCATAGACAAAGAGCAGGTACACTAATTTAGCCGAACATTTTGTTAGTGCTGTAGGCTGCAGGTATCTATTATAGGTATGGTTATAATAATTATACCTTGACACTCGATTTAGCGCTCCGCAATGCCCTCATATCTTTGTTATAGATTTGTTATAGTTAGCTAGTGAATTGAAGGTTTGTCAATTATAGGGTACCTAGATGCCTAATTTTTATTTAAATGTCCGTCTGGTAGACCATTTTAAAACA